GGAGAGGCTCAGGAGATTTGCAGACGAACCCAAATTGTCCTTCAGTCCTCCTTTAAGATCTTCCTGTCTCTGTCAGGGCGACGTGGTGCGTTTGTTTCACGCTGAGCAGGAAAAGTTTCTGACCTGCGATGAATACAAGAGCAAACTCCACGTTTTCCTCCGAACCACGCTGAGGCAGTCAGCAACGTCAGCGACCAGCTCCAACGCCCTGTGGGAGGTTGAGGTACACAAACAAACACACACAAGTACACAAATTCTCTAGAATATCCTCTAAACCTGCACTTGTGTTAAACTTTTTCTCTATGTGCTGATTGGTTTGACAGGTTGTCCATCATGATCCGTGCCGCGGAGGGGCGGGACATTGGAACAGTCTCTACCGTTTCAAACACCTGGCCACTGGAAACTACCTGGCTGCTGAGGTAACTGTTAGATCAAGCTGGTGGACTAAAGAAGCAGTCCATGAATGACGTTTGACTGTTAAAGCAAATACCAAACACCACGCTATGGCAGTGGTTTTACTACAACAGGTTCAGTTTTATAGATGTAGATGCTAACTGATAATTATTTATCTATAAATAATATATAAGTAATGAATTGTTGGAAGGGAAGGAAAGAGCTGCTATCAATAAATTCATTGTTGACCTCTCATTTGTGTCGTTGTTGTTGTCGTTGTTGTAGGAGAACCCGGGTTATAAAGGAGACAATGTGGAGCTGTCTTCCTCGGTGAGTCTCTTCCATGACACATAAGATATAAGGCATCGGAAAGTCTTTTATTTTGAAAAGGCTATAATCAGACTCTGCAGGAGACGGGACACTTTGTGTCTGACTTTTCTCTGATGACGTTTACGTTCAGGTATTTAAGGCAAAGACATTTTCATTTCAAAATTTTCAGGAAAAATGAAACATTGTTTCCAGGAAGTGCCTCAATACTTTTGCCTCATTTTGATGCGTTTTTCAAGTTGATCAAAGATCGATGCAGCCAGAAACAGCAAGAAAAAAATTCCTGTTGGAGAAACAGCCTCTTCTGAATGAAGTCCATGCTGATCAGTAATCTAACCCCTTTACATCCTATACATGACCTCTGACCTTTCTGTAGATGGACGGTAGCCGTAGCAACAAGCGGTCCCACGGAGAGAGGATCAAGTACAAGCTGGTCGCGGTGCCTCATGGGAGCGACATCGCCTCGCTGTTCGAGCTCGACCCGACTACGCTGCAGAAAACCGACTCCTTCGTACCACGGTAGGAACACGCGAGTCCTTTAACTTCCTGCAGATGTTTCACAGTAAAAGACTTTAGAGGACAGGGACATTATGGGAGCGAGGTCCACTTTTGCTTCAGATGGTAAGAAACTGAAGAGTGTACTGGTTGGGAAACCATTTTAATTATGTAGGTCATGAAGTTTTGAAATAGTTTGAAATCGTAATTGACTGAATGTCATTTTAATTAATCTGTTTTGCACTTCAACTAAATACACAATGACTGTTTGTCTAAAAAAGAGAATTATTTCACTCACAGAAAAAAGGGAAAATTAAAAAACAAGATTTAAGAGAATCTTGCAAAAAAACCAAAACAAGTGTTTTAAATCATCTGATAAAGTGTTTTTGTCGTTATATTGCTGTTATATGCTGCTGTTTCTTTATATCTCATTGTGTTCTTATTAACTTTCCCCTAAAAATATCCAATAACTGTTATATTTTTATGGGGAACTCTCATTTCAGATTATTTGTTTTCACAGGAAAACTATTAAAAGTGAATTATAAAAACGTTTGTGAAACTGATCTACATATATTGAATAAATAATATATAAGACAATGGTTGACAATGATTCTTAAGCTGCATTTGTATGACAGACGTTAGTTTTCTTTAACGAGGAGCCCACAGACTTCAGAATAAAGTTGAAGGGATTAAAACGGGGGGCTGTGTATCTTTCAGAAACTCATACGTGCGACTGAGGCATCTTTGCACGAACACCTGGATCCAGAGCACCAACGTCCCCATCGATATCGATGAGGAGCGACCTATCAGGCTCATGGTGAGGTCTTAGTTTTGATCAGGTTTGCTGCTAAAAGGTGCTTAGCTGATTTAGTCTAAGATTACAAAAACATTTGTATGATGTAGTGACTGCAAATACTTGATTGTTTGGTGTTCTCAAATCTGACAAAGGAATATTTGGGACTTTTAAGATGGTGGCCAAACAAAACAAAAGAAGGTTGTTCAACCAGTTCAAACAGACATTTTCTCTTGTTTCCTG